TTTTTTGCTTTCCTTGATCAATCACTTTTCTTTCATTCATTTTATCACAGTTCATCTTTCTTTAAGATGCATTTTCAATAGAATGGACAGATAATTCAATAGTGATAGTCGCAGTGATTTGCATAGGATAATACCTACTTTGGTAGTTGGTTTTAAGTGGCTCCACATGGCTGAAGGCAATCAAGTGGCTATTATAAAGTTCTCGATATAACTATGTATAAGTCATAGGGATTGGATCAAATACAGGTTTTTCTCGAGTAGTTCGTTGTTCTCGTGAACCACTTGCTGGGTTAATAGGGCGAACTTGGGTTCTTGCAGGAGCTTGAATGTTGAGGCTGTATGTGAGATCTTGAGGGCTATAAATTGATCGGTATGTGGATGAATAAGGTGGTTGTGGAGCTAGCTGGTATGGGTAGGATGAGGCATTGTTCACAACAAAATCGTATGGAGAGTAACCTTGGGATGGATAGGGTTGATAACCCCTGAATTGTTGTCTATCAAAGCTCACAGCTTGAGCTTCAGCTTCTTTCTTTTCTGATGTCTTCTTGGTTTCTCCTCCTTTCAACTTACCATTTTTTATGGCACTTTCAATAATTTCTCCAGAGATTATCATGTCAGCGAAATTCTTTGTTGCATTCCCTATCATCTTTTCATAATATGGAGGTTTCAAAGTGCTAACAAACAATACAGTAGTCTCTTTTTCTGTCAATGGAGGTTGTACCTGTAAAGCTATATCTCTTCATCTCTGGGCGTATTCTTTAAAAAACTCATTTGTCTTTTTCTCCAGATTCTGTAAAGACAAACGATCAGGGGCCAAATCGATGATATGTCGATATTGACTGATAAAGTCATGTGCCATATCGCTCCAAGAGTGAATGCGAGTCCTGTCCAGCTGAACATACCATCTGGCCGCAGAGTCAGTAAGACTATCTTAGAAAACATGCATCAATAGCTTTTCATCATGTGCATGAGCTACCATCTTCTTGCAATACATGGTGATGTGGGTTTTGGGGCACTTTGTACCATCATATTTTTTAAATTTTGGTACCTTAAACTTATGAGAGATAACCACATCAGGAACTAGGCAGAGTCCAGCAGCATCAACTGACCCATAAAAGCTAAATCCTTTCACAGCCCGTAACATCTGCTCTAGCATGCTAATTTTGGAGCTTTCCTGAACTTCCACTCTTATCTTTTCTTTTTCCTTCTCCTTTAAATCATTTAGATCAGAAACTGATTCTACTACTTTTTCAGTGAATACAGGATTTATATAGCTATTATACTGCCTTGGGTTAAAAGCTGATGGCATTCCAGGATATGCGAAATGTTGTGGCGGGACCTCTTGGGCAGACTGGGCTTGAGGTGGACCAAAACCTGGAGGGTACAAAGGGTCAGCCACTTCTTGCTGGCTTGTACTTCCTTCAACTCTTTTTCCTTTATTCATGTTATTAAGGGCCTCCAGAATCTTGCTTAATTCACTTTCAATCTTCTTTTGAGCTTTTTCTAACTTTTTAAATCTATGAGAACTTTCATCTTCCATTTGCCTTGCTCTGGATCTTGTGTTGTATGGATGAGCAAGGTTTTCGCTAGATGGAGCTATCCTCGGACCTTGAGTACCATACTTATAATTAGAAATGTTATGCTGTGTCTTATGTATGATGCTTTGATACACAAATGAAATATACATTTTTTTTAATGAAATCTAGTATGAAATGAATGCAAATGATTGTGTTGAAACATGATCATGAAAAGAATACAGATGCATACAATCAGACAAACAACATAGTTAGTTCCGTGGATGAAACGTAAGTGATGTTGATGCATAATGTTACATATGATAAAAATAATACACAAAGTTAAGCAATCAAAATAATTAGATAAACACCCTTTTTGTGTCCTAATTTTAGGGTATATCTATCATTGGATAGAAAGAGCTCTATCCTAGGTGTAGGCACTCTTAAAGTTCACTACATGCGATTTTAAGGTCAGAGTCTAAAGGTCCTCAAATTGCTCATTACATCCCTGTCCATTACAGACTAGTAAAGCACCCTAATCCTCACCCATTACAGGCTACAAGCGAAAAAGGTTCAATTTGAGTGGGAGTATTTCGCTAGCCACTGCGGAGGCATTAGACCTCACGAAAGCAATAGGTACTTTACTCCCTCCTAGAGGGACGAAGCTCGGGTGTAGAGCTCATGTTATGCACATGCACATGAATGACATAATTAACAAAGTAAATAAAACATGAATGAATAACAACACATATATACAATAAGGTTCAATTTCATTTGGCTTTTGGATAACATAAATTATTTGCTGACCTGACTCTCAAGGTCCCCAGTGGAGTCGCCAAGCTGTCATAACGTCTAGATCTGAGGATCTATCGCTAGAAATTGACTTTTAGGGAGTCACCACCAATCTTTTTTTGTCTAGGTGCGATTGGCCACCTAAGGAATCTGTCCTTTCAGGGAACACCTAAGCTTAAGGGTCCCTAAAAGAATAGGTTCAGGTCTGCTAACCAGAACAGGGTTCGGGAGTTCGATTACGTGTGAGAAAGGTTATAGCACCCTCACAACGCCCATCAAAAGATGGTACCAGCTTAAATTTGTGTTATCCAAAAGCCTTAAAATTTTACCAAGTAATTAATTATTGGAAATTTTTCTCAATTGACTCTAATACTTTTAGCAAAAAATTGAGAAAATTTTCTCACCTCAAGAATATGCAAGAAAAACTACTGTTTCACTTGCAGAGGCTCCATCGTCGGATTAATTAAAGAAAAATCAAAATCAAAATCAAAATAGAAAGGAAGGAGAGGATGATTGTTCTTGTGTAGGGAAAATTGATACTTTCAACTTTTCCCTAAAATATTTTTGAAATTTATTTTTAAGAAAAATTGATACTTTCAACTTTTCCCCAAAAATATTTTTTGGAAATTTATTTCTAAGGAAAATTGATACTTTCAACTTTTCCTAAAAAATTTTTGAAAATTTATTTTTAAGGAAAATTGATACTTTCAACTTTTCCCCAAAAATATTTTTTGGAAATTTATTTCTAAGGAAAATTGATACTTTCAACTTTTCCCCAAAAATATTTTTTTTTTTGAAACTTTGATTTCCAAGGAAAATTGATACTTTCAACTTTTCCTCAAAAACCCTTTTTGAAATTTATTTTTAACGAAAATTGATACTTTCAACTTTTCCCTAAAAATATTTTTTTTTGGATTTTTTTTATTTTTATTTAAAGAAAATAAAATAATAAAAAGATAAATAAAAATAAAAATAAATAAAGAAAAGTAAAACAGAAATAAAAAATAAAATAAAGATAAAAAAATTAGATAAACCTAATCTAATAAATAAATTAATTAATTAATTCATTAAAAAAAAAAACTTAGAGCGGCTCGGCTATCAGCTCGGCTCGGCTCGGCTCAAGGAAGAGAAAACGGCTCGAGGGGTGGCTTGGGAAGCTCGGCTCGGCTTGGCTCGGAGGGGGGCAGGCATGCGCGGGTCAGAAGCGGATCGACGCTCGGGTCGGGTCGGGTTTTCGACAAAACACGCGGATCCTCTGGTTACTTAAGGCCAAAACGACGTCGTTTTAAGATGGTATAAAAGGCACTTTCTTCTGTTTTTCGGTAGAACCCTTCTCCTCTCTCTCTCTCTTCTTCTTTTTTCCTCTCCCTTCTCTCTAAAAACTGAAGAACACCGGTGGAATTTTCGTCGGATTCTGGAAAAAGTCACCGGAATCTGGAAATTTTTATCGAAAGTTGGTCGGAAGATCACCGATTTCTGGGATTCTTCATCGAAAACTGGGTTGGTCGCCGGAAACTTCAAGGTTGGCCGGAATTTTTCGTCGAAAAATTCAAACTTCGTCGAAATTTTCGTCGGAATCTGGAAATTTCCCAAAAATTTCCAGAAAAATTTTTCGCCAAAAATTTCTAAAAAAGTATTTTCGATCCCTACAGCTATCCTAACTCTTCTCAGCCTTCTTTAGCCTTCGAAAACTCTTCTATACACCTCTTTTCTCTCAAATTCAGTAGCTTTGCTCACTGTTTTCTTTGTTTTTCATCTGTTCCAAAGGGTCCCTTTTATAGGGATTGATCAGGAGCTCCTGATCAATCCCAATTCCTCCTTGGACGGGGATTCAATCTTTGAATCCAATTGGACTCTTTTGATTGAATCCCCACTCCTAGTAGGATTCTTCAGCTTCAATCTCAACCTTCCAAAATAAAAATTAAATAAATATAAAAAAATAATAGATAATTAGAACAGATAAATCGAAAAAAAATAGATATATTATAGGATAAATAAAAAAAAATAGATATATAATTAGATAAATAAAAATACAAAAATAAATAAAATATAAAAATAATAATAATAATAATAAATATATAACTATATAAATAATATACATATAAATCTATTCTAACTAAAAAATAAATAAATACAGATATACATAAATTAATAATAATAAATATAAAAATACATAAAATACAAACGAAAAGAAAAAAAGAAAAAAAATAATACAGGATTGAATTGGGCCTTACCCATTTGGGTTAGGCCCAATTGATCTGGGCCTGGACCCAATTGGGTGTCTACAATTGTGTTAAATCTTAGACGAAAAGAGTTATTTTAAATTCTGCCTAGATGATGGAGAATTTTAAGATAATTCTTTAACTTAAAGATTTTCTCAATAATTCTAAATAAATATTTTAGCAAAATTTTATTTTTTTCAAATTAAGGGAATTAGTGTTAAATTTCAAATTAAAACTATTTTTATCCAACACCGAAAATAACGTGTAATTAAATGGTACCAACTTATGGGCGTTGTGAGGGTGCTAATCCTTCCCCATGCGTAACCGACTCCTGAACTCAACCTAGTTTTTCGTAACCCGAAATTTATCTTTTTGATAAACTTTAAACCCGTTTTTATAGTTTTATTAAAAGGAAAAGCTTTTGGGTGGCCAATCACACCCTAACAAAGATTGGTGGCGACTCCCTTCTTTCTTTTATTTTTCTCGATTTTAAAACTCGTTTTACGTCTAGCGATCCCAAAACCATTACACACACTTCAAACTCTTTGTTTTTGTCCAATATATCTGTTGATTATCCAGGTTACATTCCCTATCTTGGAAGAATTAATATTGGAGCTGAATGGCACTTCGAAAGGGATATGGCTTGGACAACTCTCAACACTGTTTCAGGAAACTAAAAGTTCTTGAGCTTATATGTGTTCCTGGGAAAGCAGATGCTCTTCCATATTGTTTCATTCGGTCATTACTAGCTCTTGAAACGTTGGTTTTACATGATGCTTCCTTCTATCAAATATTCCAGTCTGATGGACTCAATGATGAGGAAAGACATGCATCAGTTCTCACTCGGTTAAGTAAATTGCGGTTGTCTAAACTTCCAGAGCTGACACATATCTGGCAGGAAGAGTTCCGAGCAGCTTTCTGTAACCTGAGAATTCTTGAAGCAGAGGAATGTGGCAAATTCAAGACTTTAGTCCCCTCATTGGCGTCTTTCGAAAATTTAACAACTCTGGAAGTTTCGAGATGTCATGGAATCTTCAATTTAATAGCATGCTCAGAAGCTAAGAGCCTGATTCTACTAGAAAGATTGAGCATAACTGATTGCAAGATGATAGAGGAAATCATAGCATGTGAAGGTGAAGAAATTAAAGGTGGCATTGTTTTCATCAAACTGAAGTATTTGCAACTAAGTTGTCTACCAAGTCTAGTAAGCTTTTCCTTAGGGGATCACAACTTTGAATTCCCTGCCTTGGAAAAGGTGATTCTGAGAAAGTGCCCAAAGATGAAGAATTTCTGTCAAGGAGATTTAAGCACACCAAAGCTGGAACGAGTGCAATTTACAGAAGATGAAGATGAAGATGAAAAAAGAGGGCGCTGGGATGGCAACCTTAAAACTACTATACAACAGCTTTTCAAAGAAATGGTATGCATAAATTTAAAGGATTTTCCCATCGTTTTCTAGTTTTGTTTTTTTTTTTTTTTTTTTTTTTTTATCTGTCAGCCGCGTTTGCTTCTCCCTATCCAGCTTCCTAGCTTGGTAAAATGAGCTGGCTTCCTAACCATACTGATATTTCTAAGTGTAGCTCTTGCGGAATAAATTCATTAATTCAAACTCGGATGGTGATCTATAGAGGAATTTGATTAAATTGAAGAATCTTATTCAGAATTCAGATATACATTACAAAGCTTTTTCTCTGAGTGTTCAGTAGCCAATGAAACTTACTAAGATGAAGTAGATACAAATAAGTTTATACTTCGGCCCTCTGAAGCTATAAACATAAAGCTTTTCAAGACTTCTTGTTAGCTGATGAAAATGATTGTAAAATGTAATTTGGTGCCTTTCCATGCATAGTTAATTAAACAATTCTTCCTCTAACCCTACCGTATGTTGTACTTTCTTATGATCACAGAACATCCAAAATTCTGAAGTGGTTGAGGTTAACCTTCAGTTACCCAATCTGGAATAAGGCAATATGCTTTGGTGATTGTGAGATAGGCTCATTTCCCTTCAATCGAAATCAGATGGTAATTAAGTACCTGTTAAACTTTCATAATTCTTCATCTCTCCACTTTATTTCCCTTCATCATGGCACAATTGCTTTATACTGTGACGGTGGAGATGGCTTCTCATTGCAGATTGAATTTATCTAGTTTGTAAAACGAAAAAGGAATTGCTCTACTGAAGTTTCCTTTGAACCCAAAAGGTTGTTTCACTTCCTACGAATGTGTTATTTGAACCTCAGTTTGCAAGTAATGAATTTCAGGTGCATCATGCTTGGCACTGCAAACTACAAATATGTATCCTTTTTCTTGTACTGTTGATCAGCTAAGACTCCCCTGTTTTAGTAATCCCAAATTTTCTTCTTCTTCAAGGCTGATGGATTTTCCAATTCCTTCGTACATTTCAACCACATCATGTCGTTGATTTGTAAATCCTTTTGCTGCTATTTTCTCATTTCTTTTCTATGATACATATTAAGAGTCCAGGGGAGGGGATGAGAGAGGATTGGAGCCTTGAATCTTTATCCTCCAAAGAACAGGTAAGAACCAAGTGAGGGTTATTGTTTCCTCGTGATCGGATAATTTATTGCAGTTTAGTGGTTTCTTAGCATCGGATGATAGGCTTGATTGGATTTTTTATATTCTTAATTCCCTACAATAAAATCAAAGAAAAAAAATCACAAAGTAACTCAAAATAGCAACCCATAAATCACCGTAATAACAGCCATGCCTCTTTTTTTATGTGTGACCAAAACAACGTGTTTTAGAAACTAAGCCTGAAGGAGCTGGTGGTGGATGTGATTCGTCCTTAGACTTCTTGCCAGGGAAATGTTTATATTAAGGCATTTACTGCAACTGCTACTTCATCCTCTCCTTCCATGTTTATTTTAAATTTATATCCTATTATGCAAGAAAACATAACACATGTTCTATACCCGTATCTTATATATATATATATATATATATATATATATATATATATATATAATAAATAGATTCTTTACTAAATAATATAAATTATTATTTTAAATTAATTAAAATTAATATATATTTATAAAAATTACATGAATTCCAAGATAAAATAAAAAAAGCTAAAAGAATAAATTTTTTTTTTTTTTAAATTACAAACATGGATATTACCTATAACCATTAATACCTTCAGAGATAGAGATGGGAATAGATTTAAAATAGCTATTGGGTATGTATGATAATAAGTATAATATAAAAATCTGGAGATGAGATGAAAAATATTTTACATGCCCTATACCTTATTCATTGACATTCAACAACTCCGGACGTAACATTTTCTCAAATATTAATTTACGCATACTTTGTCATAATTAAATAGGAATTACTTTCATTATACTTGAGAGGTTCAGAATCCTACAGGGCAATATGCTTCTACTAGTAACTTTTTTTTGTTTTTGAGCATATGTTTCTACTTTCTATTTTTACAAAATGTGATATTCATAAAAAAAAAAATTGCAGTTATCATATAGTTGCATTAAATGTGACAGGGTCGTGAAATTGAAAGAAAAATAAATTTCAATAGACTTACTTTTCTTGATTAAACACAAAATATGTAAACTAAACATGTATAATTAATTGGCATACCTTAAAGATATTGTTCTATGAGCAGGATGGAATTTAACTGGCATACATTAAAGAATATTGTTCAATGCGCAAGTTAGAATTCATTAATGAAGGCTCAAGATTTCCTTGATCTCGTAAGAATGTTTAGGTGGTTTTCAAGAATAAATATTAGCTTTGTTTTTACTTTACATAACCTAGACATTAACAAAATTGAAGGAGAATATTATTAAAATGTTTGGTTGGTTAAAGTTATATGAAAGAATATTTAAAGTACAATTCTTCAAAAAAAATATATAAAAGTACGTATCATTTGATCTTTCAAGAAAAAAATGCTATCATTTTTTTAAATGTTAAATTATAAACATTTTAATATAGTTTTTAATTTTTTCCTAAAACAAAAATTTACCATTTAATTATATGTTTCAATACAAACATATATATATATATGTTAGTAATTACAAAAGTCCAATAAAAGTTTTTGTTACTGACAACAAAAATTAAAATTTCCTTTCGTTTTAATAAAACAATAACATATTTAATCTTTTCTCTCTTTCTTTCTTTATTTTCCTTGCTAAAAAATTGGAGACAAAAAAGAAAGAAGACAAAGAAAAAAGAAAAAAAAATGAAAGAAGGAAAATTGTTGAATTAGTGTTTCACTATCCGTTTAGCATTTTTTTCTCTCTATCTATACACTTAATAACTCTACCACATTTTTGTATTTTTATACATGAAAAAAAAATCTAATCTCACCTCGAAAAAGTTTAATTACTAAAAATGTATAATAAAACAATAAATTACTTGCGTGTAATCTACATTAAACCCAAAACAAAATTGGAACCAAACTCAAGACTTTTATAATCTCTAATTAAATCAAATAAAAATAGAGAGCTAAATTTTTAATGTTAAATCTTTAGTTCAACTGTTAAAGATGCTGTTAAAAAAACCAGTCACACAAACACACAAACCCATCGTATAAAGAAAATATTGGAGTAATAATATCAATACATCAATCAATACAATTATATTAAAGCAGTTCCCTTCAATTTTTTTTGGTAATTCCCTTTACTGCAATTTAAGGATGTTGCTACTTGGTAAGCAGGGCAAATAATGTGGGTTTGATATATATATATATATATATATATATATATAATTTTTAATTTATTCTTTAATCTCTTTTACTTTATTATTTATTTGACAAAATAAGATCTTACTTGCATAAATTCTTTTTAATTTGTATTTTTTAAATGTAAATAATATGTTAACTGATCTAAAAGATAATCGATAAATTTGATAATTTTTTACGTCAACTATTTTGGATATAAATAAATGTTAAAAATTATACAACGTAATTTTGAAATTATGGACAAGCTTTGGAAGTAAGAACAGACAGCTAGAAATATCAGCGAGCAAAAATGTGAAGAGAGAATTTTTTTAATATCACTGAAAAAAATCAATTATTTCTTATATACAATTAAATAATAAATATTAATATTAATTAATTATTTAATAATAAATAGTTAATTTTTTTAATAATATTATTATACAACATAATTTAAATGAAAAAGATATATATATATATATATGATATGATTGTTTTAAATAAATTTTTTTTCAAGAATTGAAAAAATTAAAAAAAGAAAGAAGGAGAATAAAAAAAATGAAAAATTTTAAAATAATTTTAAAATTATAGTGTTAAATTTAAATCGATTTTGTTATTTAATTTGGACTAAATTTGAATATTAAATTTAAATCAAATTTTAGATTGAAATGTAAAAATAAAATAAAATAAAATTGAATCATATATTTTTTTAATTTTTATGTATTTTAAATTTTTTAAAAATAAAAATAATAATTTTATATCAAAATTTATTTAAATATATTAAAATAATATATAAAATTAAAATTTGATAAACTGAACTGAACTGATAAAATTTAATTTGATTTGATTCGAATTAAATAAAATTTGATTTAAATTTATATTAAAATTTAAATTTTTATAATATTATATAATATTTAAAAATTTAAATCAAATCAAATCCAAAACAAACTACTATCACCCTTAACTTAAACGCATTATCTTTGTTTGCTGTCAAATTTATCTTAATTCCAACGTATGATTAAAACCTTTTTGTGCATTACAACTTTGTTCACTGTGTCTGGCAGTTCTCCGCTAAGGAAAATTTTGTTCACTGTCAATCATTTATTCTTCATACAATTTTTTAAATATTTTTGTATAAAATTACTTAATTTTTTTTATTTAATTTTTTATATTTTTTAAGTTTTCAAATTTGCAAATTTAAAACTTTTAAAGAGTTTTCGAATTTATATATTTCAAAGTTTTTAAAGCTTTTGAATTTTTATATCCAAAAAACCTAAATTTTTTATAAGATATTTTCTCAATTATTTTTTTACATAAATATAATTTTTTAAAACTTTCGAATATATATTTTTATAAATTATATAATTTTTTGGATAATCATTTTTTATAAATTAATAAATTATATAATTTATCAAAAATATATGTCCAAAATTTTAAAATAAAAATATAAAATAATAAAATAATTTCACCAAAAGATATTTTTGAAAAAAAAAAAAAAGGTATGAAGAAAAGAATTGGGGTTGCATTTTAGAAAATCCCAAAAACTAAAAATAAGAAAGGGAACAGAGATAAGGATGAGCACAAAAGACAAAAACGATGGGACTGAACGGAGAAGGAGAGGCGAGTTGGAGACGTTTGAACAAGCGACAGCAGAGTGAAGATATGAGAAAACAGATTGCACAAAATAATTATATCATGACATAACATTTTTTTTTCATTTAAATCATATTATATAATTAGAGTAATGAAAAAATTAATTATTTATTATACATAATTAAATAATAAATTTTAATTCTAATAAATAAATAAATAAATATTAATTAATTAATTTTTTAATAATATAATTATCTGCATGATTTAAATGAAAAAAAAATTATATTCACGTTACGTAACTTTCATGTAATCTTTTTTTTAAGATTTGGAGGGAAAAAATAAAAAGAGAAAGAGGGCGATTTAATCTTAAATGTGATCAAATCTATACCGCTAACTAGATCTAGGCCGTAAATGTAGGCCATAAAGGATTGGTGCTTCCTGATAGATTGAAGATAAAGAAAAATTGTCCAAAAATATTTGAAGAAATACCAAAAATTTAATTTCGAATCAAATTTTTTTTATTTATTTTAAAATTTTATTTTTTTAATATAAAATAAAACAGAAGACGAAGAAACGTTTTAAAATATATATATATATATAAATGGGGTATGAAAAATATTATTTTTTGTATATAATCGAAAAACTAATCTTGATTAAAATTAGGAGTAGGTCTGATTTTTTATGCAAATCTCATTTTTAATAAGAAAATTTATTTTTTAAATTTTATAATATTTATCCCAATCTTCTAACCTATAATTTTTTATCCAATCCTAATAAAAAATAGTATAAAATATGTTTCATACAGAATATTATGTAAATTTAAATTATAATTAATTGATTGATTATAATACAATAATCATAAATAATTTGTTCTTTTGAACAAGTTTAGCATAAATAAAAAAATGAAGAATAATTTTAAATTCACATAATAATTAATGCTGGATGATTTGGTAAAAATTCAATTGGTTCACATTTTTATTTTAATTTTTAGATAATATTGAAGTTTGTTGACTTGACTTTTCACCATATGGAATTCACGGGAGAACTTTCCTGCGTTCTTTCCATTTTCATTTTACATCTTTTGGCATTTCCATCACCCTAAAACACTATAGGCTGTTGATATCGGGCTGTCGGCCACATGAGAGGGAATCTTTCACTTTTGACTGACACGTCTCCCAAGTCTTTTCAATTGAATTTTAAATTTTTTAAATTTTTTAAAAAATTATATATTAGTTTTTAATATTTAATAAATAATATCTTAATAAAAAAAAGTAATTAACAGACGAATCAACATAAAATTAAAATAAATTCACCTATATCAA